TGAGGAAAACTCATCTCTGATCAATATTCACAGGAAAATCTCTGGTTTTACACAAACGTCCTGCAGTTACTGTGTTCACTGTTTACAGTTTACCTTGTTCTCTGCTGTTATTGTTGAACATATCATTTTAATGTATTCAGGGGTCGACAGTTGGCTCAGTGATATTAAAAATGGGTCCCTTAAGTTAATGCATCTGATGAGACCTGCTGTGTATATTTTTAAAGTTTTCCTTAAATTCATCAAGGTCTCGTGACCCCCCTGTGAAGCTTTGGCGACCCCTGGTGGGGGTCCTGACCCTCAGGTTGGGAACCACAGCTGTGGTGAGTATTCGGGGCAGCAGGACGGTGAATGTGTGACAGAGTAAACTACAGAGTTCATTCATCATCGTTTGTTAACAGAAACAGAGAAACAACCTTCAGTGGATCAGTTTCAATACGACTGATAATGTGACTTCATCTAACAGTTGTTTACTGTTTACACATCAACAACATTAGATTATTAATTTAAAACAAACATGATAAAAACTAAATGAATCAGTAAAAGGCTGATAAACTTTCTACATTATTAGAGAAGATTATCATCACTTCATATTTAGATTTATTTTTTAATTCTGTTTATTGTATTTTATGTTAATTCAAATTAACAATTAAAAGGCTTCATTAGTACGACCATAAACATTATTAATACATAATCAAAGCACTGAATGAATACTGATCAGTATATGTACTGTGTGTAATATTTAACAGCAGATCAAACTGTTTTTGCTTTATTATTTTATTAATTTTTGTAATGAAAATAAAATTAATGAATATGCTTTTTATCTTAGAATAGAAAAGATTTTGTTTTATTTAATTGTTAATTATTTAATCCAACTGCTCAGTTAAAAGATAAAACTTTACACTTTTACTGACAGTTTTCTGCACATTAAATAAATTGTATAAAAAATGTTTTGTTATAAATTATATTATATATATACAAGTAGCCTATATATATTATACAAGTATCTTAAATTATTAATTGATTGATCAATTAGAGTAAGGTAGGTTAAATTAAAAATGTAATCTAATAAAATTTGTAATTACTTAAAGTGACCTAATCCAAGCATATATTTATTATATATTAAAGTAATGTAACTTGATTACTTTCCATCTCTTCTGGACCAAATATGGTGTAAGACAGGATTAAATTAATGATAAATTAATGATATTATATATAATACGGACTTATTTTGCCTCGAAAACACTACAAACAATACATTTTCACATAAAAGGATAAAATCAGAAACAATATATTGGGGAATAAAAGAACAAAAATAATGACATAAATCTTCTGGAGCCAGTTCAATGTCCTTTATATCTTTGCAAAAAAAAAAATAAAGGAACTTATTTAAAATAAAATATATTTAGAAGGTAGAACAGTCAGTTAAGACAGAACGGACATTAACACGACACGATTAACCAGATAAATCCAAACCTTCCTCTCCAAGAATAATACGATTTGTGTTTATGTGTCTCTGTTGTTCCACGTGTTAAAATATCTAATAATCTATAATATAATCTATAAATTAAAGATCAATAAAAGGAGCATTTGTTTGTTTCCACATTGTAGCTGCAAAGTAAAATAATTAAGGCCTCCAGGCTGAGCGAAAACAAGAACATGGGGCTTAAATCACGAATTGAACTCGAGTTTTAATCTAATTTATCTTAAACGTTTTGTTACAGATGGAAATAAGTGATCAACAATATCGATTAACTCATTTGTTTTAGTTTGTTTTGGTTTTATTTCCTGCTATTTACGTAACGGTTCGCACACGTCACGCTACGTCAGGGGTCGAAGTTGACAGTTGGCGGAGGGAGGGCTCGTGCTTGGACGGTTCGCGGGAAACGTCTCAAAACAAAAATCGGTTCACGCGAGCGTCACGCACAAAGAGTGTGAACTCAACCTGATACATACACACACATTAAACCAATCGATCGGATCAATAACAGCGTATTACCCCTATAACTGACGTCAACGGCTCTCGGCGGCGGGCACGAGCTGGTAACGTTAGCCAGCTTACTTTATGTTAGCTCCTCGCGCTAACCGTTAGCTTAGCTTCTCGGGCTAACTGTTAGCTTCTCGGGCTAACCGTTAGCTTAGCTTCTCGGGCTAACTGTTAGCTTCTCAGGCTAACCGTTAGCTTAGCTTCTCGGGCTAATTGTTAGCTTAGCTTCTCGGGCTAACCGTTAGCTTCTTAGGCTAACCGTTAGCTTAGCTTCTCGGGCTAACCGTTAACGCAGCACTGTCAACGGGCGCTCATCTGTTAGCATTAGCATTAGCACTTGTTCAGCGGCTACACACGAGCTAACCGAGCTAACCGCGCTAACCGCGCTCTCCCGCTGTCTGTGGCCGCCGGTGCGGTCAGCTTAGCGGCGGACTCCCGGTGCGAGGAGCCGGTGTAGCGGTGGGTGAGATGGCAGAGAGGCCAGAAGACCTGAACCTCCCCAACGCGGTTATCACCCGCATCATAAAGGAGGCGGTGAGCGGGAAACATTTAACTATCTTTAAAGGGAGAAAGGATTTCTTATTAAAAAGAGTGACAATTAATACTATTTATTTTATAGGCTTCTTATTATTGAGGGTGGGTGTATATTAAAAGCACGATATAATAAAACTAAATTATTTTATTGCAACTTTTATAAAGTGTAGTCATCAGAAAGTAAAATATTTATTAAGTATATAAAGCAGCTGTTAGTTTCAGTGCTTCTTTACTGACATTCAAAAGTCACAAAACTATTCAGTTAAAAATATAAATAAGCATGAAAGCAACCAAATCTAATGCTGACCGTCTTTTAAATGCTTTATTTTATATAACAGTCAATTATTTTAGCATTAATATGATTTTATAATCACATAAATAACACATATTGGTGTGTGTTTGATGGCATAATGTTTAATTTAATTGTCGTATCGTAAAGTACATTTTACATTCAATATTTGTAATTAATAATTGATTAAACAGCAGGAATATCCTCAGTCTTTACTTTTTTATTATTATTTTTAATTGTTATATTGCTGTTTTCATGGTTATTTACTGAGAGAGAACAGTTATTAATCCCCATTAATCTATAGTCAGTTACTGGTGTAAGACTTCCTCATATCTGTAGAATAAAGAAACCCATACAGACAGCAGCAGGGTGTCATTGTTAAAGTCCTTTTACGTTCAGCTCTTACTGTTAGTGAGTGAATCCCTCAGTTGTTCCATTATCTCTGTGTTTTCTGATTAAAATGCTCTGAGATGAACTCCTCTGTTTGTGTTCAGCTCCCAGACGGGGTGAACGTGTCGAAGGAAGCCAGGAGAGCCATTTCCCAAGCTGCCAGCGTGTTCGTGTTGTACGCGACGTCGTGGTAAAAACAAAAAACCCTTCAGTCGAGTGCTGATTGAACACAAACCATCTGAGTCGACTCGTTATAACCGAACAGGGTTTGAAATGTTCTGTGATCTCGTTTCAGTGCGAACAACTTCGCCATGAAAGCGAAGCGGAAAACTCTGAACGCAGGAGACGTTTTGGCTGCGATGGAGGAAATGGAGTTCGAGCGTTTCCTGGAGCCTCTGAGAGAAGCTTTAGAGGGTCAGTGAAGGTTTTCACAAAGACACAACAAAGGTTTATATGTTTCCTCCTCAATCAGCCGAGGAGCTGTTGGTTAAACTGAAAATGTAATCTAATACGTATTACATGTTAAAGTGACCTCAGGTATTTATTTATTATATATTAAAGTAATGTAACTTGATTACTTTCCAAATACAATGTGAAACAGGATCAAACTGATGATCAAACTGATTTAATTTGGGCGAGAGGTTAGAAAACACTACAAACAATACGTTTTTATATGAAAGGGTCAAATCAGAAACAAAGTACTGTAAAATAAAAACAAATATCTTTACAAAAAGAACAAAAATGGGGACAAAAGCAAAATAAATGAGATAAATCTTCTGTTGAATGACGTTTTTAAAGGTCTGATGGAGGTTACTGCAGAAGTTAGAACCAGTCTATGGTAGCGTGTATCCGTTATTATTCTGTGTGTAGAGGAACAGATCCAGGAGAGGATCCAGGAGAGGATCCAGGAGCGATCCAGGAGCGGATTCAGGAGACGGATCAGAGAGGATCCAGAGGTCCACGAGAAGGATCCAGGAGAGTGCCAGGAGAGGATACGAGAGGATCCAGTGGATCTGGCACTGCTTATAAATGAGTCACTGTGATGTATCTCGGTGCTTTGGGTCGGGAATCTTCACCGTGAAGCAGAGGACCGCAACCATCTCCTCCTCTGGCTGCTCTCTGTGCTCTCCAACAGCTGGTACCTCAGCCCAGAAGGCCACGAGGAGGCGGAT